AACCACACACTGGGTCAAGAAAGATTTTCTTTCGTCTGTTCTCACTCTCCCAACACTCAATTGGAGTGGATGTCAAAAGAAACATCCTTTCATGTACTGTCAGTGTTTCGGTCAGATCAACACAAACACAAATGTCCTCCACCGGTCGTGGACCGCAAGCATCCATTTCTGAATGCCTGGGAGTAGTTTCTCCCTCAATCAGACCTGTTTAATATGCAGTGCAGTTTCCAGCTCGAAGATGGGGGCAGCTGGGCCACAGGGACTGAAAGAGTCGAGGTTTGCTCCTACACTGGCATCTGATTTCGGCCCCTGAGATATAACGACCGGAACTCTTACCTTACGGTCCACTTTTGCTTTGGCGTTGTAGAAGGAGACGGACGCTGGGCAGAACGGCAGCACTTCCTGTTGCATCCGGTCAAACCTCTCCTGGTCGTCTTCGTCCTGGAGGGAAGAGAAGAAGAAAAGGCAAAAACCGAAGAGGGACCTCAGGACTGCAATAAAGGGGCTAATCGATGCCCAAATCAATTCTAGGAGAGAGATGGGCACCGAAACACTGGTTTGGCAGTTCATGCCGGTTCGTTTTGCGGCCTAAATAGAGTCTGCCGCTTCCCTGCCTCCTCTAGCAGGGGCCCATCTAGACAGGCTCAAGGGCAGCACCAAACCTCTGTCCCTACAATGGGAAGAGACGGGGCCGAGTGAACTTAAGATGGCCTTCAGGGGAAAATGCCGGGCCTGTGATGAGGAAGCTTTAAACAGGCAATCACAAAGAGTCCTTGGAGGAGAGAAGCGTCTCTCTTTCCTCCGCCAAATCTTGGATCATTCACGTGCTGTCATTCTCCTCCTTCCTGTGAGCCACTTCATATGTATCCTGTCGCACACACACACAGCCCCTTTGCTCCTTCTGTCGTCACAGCAGTCTCTTCAGGAAATGCTGGTCGTTTCTTGGACTGCAACAATTTGACTGGATTTACACCCAACCTTACTCCTAGCGGCTTGGCGCAGCTACCGGCCTATCTAATTAGACACCACAAAAATCGCAAAATAGGAATATCTACAGTCACAAATATTTTCAGGAATTACAGGTGCCCAACAGACAGAACGCAGAAAAAGACATGACAACCAAACAGGGACAGGCGGGCCAATAAAATGGTTCCTTATTCCCCAAAGGCCCCTTGAGAGCTGAACCAGACCCACCCACCTCCGTTGGTGCCAACAGCAGATCAGAGAGCGCCTGGTGCAGAGCAGCCGATCCGTTTCAGGTGAGGAAGGCAGACCTCTCCCCTGACCTTACTCACCAGAGTCAGGACTCTGTTCATGGGAATCATGCCCAGCCTTATGGTTCCTCCAGGTCTCAGTGCCTCCTGGACCTCTTCCGGGATAAGAAAGGACTCATTGTACCAAATTTCAAATTCTGAAAAGCAAAAAAAAAGGTGGCATATCATACACAAAAGAAAAGCCACTGAGCCACAGGCTGGGAGAGCGTAAATCTGTCCCCTGCATCTGAGAAAATGCCATGGAGCCGGGGGTCCACGGAGCGTGGCCTGAGCAGACTGTCGGTAAGCCTGCTAGTTCAAGGGGAAAACTTAGGCCAGCCTCTGGCAGATGCTCACGAGAGCCAGCCCTTTCCCTGTACAAAGCACCTGGATCCCCATCAAAGCCCATCTCTGGCAGGTGGGTTTAGGAGAAGCATTCACGCTTGCATGGTCTCGGCACCCAGAACCCGCACAAGTGGCACCTTGGAAAAAATTCCCGGGTCTAAGTCCACCTTCCTCACGGCCTGCCTTAGATGAAACAGCCTGCGGTCTCAAAAGGAAACGATGCCAAAGGGAACTTGCTCGTCTTTAAGCTGCTCCGAGATTTTGTGGTTTTTGCCACGGTGACTGATGCCACGACTCTGAGAGGCATTTCTGCCCAGAGAACAGAAAGCTTCTGCCCAGAGCCGAACCCCTTCGGGAATCTGCTGCAAGCCCTACCTGCGACCAGTCGGTTGCGGCACTGGTCGACCAGGTGCTGGCAATACTGAACTTCTGACTGGAGGCCTCGCAGCTCATTGTAATCTGCCCGGTACTGCTTCCTCAGATCCTTCAGCTTCATCAGCAACAGGAACTCCTCTTCGTCGATGATGATTTGTCCGTCATCGTTCAGGTATTCTCCTGCAAGGCCAAAAGGGGAGGACCAATTTTTTTCTGGGAAAATCTCAGAGCAATGGGAACGAAATTGGAGGAGGCAGACAGCCCTCCTCCAGAGGTGACGGGACTGCAGTTCCTCCCACTGGAGGGGAAGAGTGGGTAGAGATGGGCATGAACTAATTCATCCCAGTTCATCAAGGTGGCTGCACAGGTGATGCTGCTGCTCCCCTCTCCCTGCCTCCTCAGTCGGTCAGCCCCTCACCGGGCCGTGCTTACTTGCTTTTCCCAACCTCCTCGGCTGATCTCCCAGTGACAAGCAAGAGCCCAGAGTTCTCTGCCCCGCCCTTTTGTTCTGATTGGGAGATCAGCCAAGAGGGTGGGGCAAAGAATCTGAGCTCTTGCCAAGACCGGGAGATCAGTTGAGGAGGGGCAGGAAGCCGGCATGCTTGGCCCCGGTGAGGGGCCGATGGAGCTAGAGGAGGGAAGGGAGGACAGCAACAGCACCGGTGCAGCTGCCTTGATGAACTGGGATGAACCAGTTTGTGTCCATCTCCTATAGTGAGAGTTGCTGCAATCCCACCACATCTGGAAAATCAAACCTTTGCTCCTCTCCCTAGTGACAGAATCACTTCTCCATAAAGTGATAGCATTTCGGGCGAGGAGTCACTGTAGCCATAAGCGACCACCACTTTTAGTGCCTAAGGCAGGTCCTTTAGCCTCAGAAGTGCATAGCCCTTGACCTATGGACAAGCTCAACCTGAAATAGAACTCTTGCCTGCTTTTTTGTTGTTGTTCTGTCGTTAAGTCATGTCCGACTCTTTGTGACCCCTTTATGGACCAGAGCACGCCAGGCCCTCCTATCTTCCTCTGCCTCCCAGAGTTGGGTCAAATTCATGTTGGTCACTTCGATGACACAGTGTCATCGAAGCTTGCCTGCTTGCAAGGCAATAAAGCATTGACTGTGTGCTTCCTTAGACAGCACAACAGACTGGCTAGGTAGGACCTCTCTCTATAGTAGCAATTAGTGACCTTTCCAATCTCCACTGGATTTAGCTGCCATCCTGCTGTTCAAGAGAAAGTCCTTTGTTGAAGAATTGTATTTGTTTTATTAAACAACCGAGCAGTTTCATGAAGTTACAGATGCAGCTTTAAAAGCATAAAGCATAATCATATCCAAGCAGTTATCATGATTCAAATAAGCTTACTATTCTTAGGTTAAAATAAGAATAAACTAAACTAAGTAATCATCTTGGCAACTTTCTACATCTTAGCACACTAGGGAAGCTGAGCTAATCTCCACCCTCCTTTAAAAAACAAACCCCTCTCTCCTCTCATCCAACAACAACATCCAACATCCACATACATAAAACAACCCTTTTTCTACATGTCTCTGGACCACCTTCTTTCTGACACTCCCAAGGAGTCAACCAAGTAGGATGATGAGGTTGTAACACAGTTCACTGTCCATAATCCGCATGAGATTTGCAGGTGGCTTATCCCAGTTAGGAGGAACGTGGTGCTTGGTCTTCCTCTCAATCTTCTCAACCTTGCTCCTTATCTTGGTCCCAGGCAGAGCAAACGTGGAACACCAATCCCATGAGACATTTGGTGGCTTAAATCCAAACAATACGGTAAACCTAGCAGGCTCCATCTTTGTATGATGACAAATTCCAGTTGCCTTCTAAGTTCTTACACCTCGCTGGCTGGAGCCTGCCTTTGCAGACCTGATTTCCGTTTCCCCCACCCCCTCCCCACCCCTGCAACCCTCTCCCTGCTTCCCAAGAGCCGGCCTGGTCTATTAGGCTTACCCTGTTGCTCTCGCTCAAATTTCTGGACCTCTAGGGCTTGCCGGGTGGCGTCCATCTCCTGCTTCAGCAGGTTGACCCGCTGGGCCGCCTCGGTCATTTTTTTCCGGCGGTCAACCAGGATGGCTTTGTTCTCCTTGAAGATCCGGTTGATCTCGCTCCCGCGCTCGTTCTTGAAGTCCTCAAAGGCGGCTGCCTTGGTTGGTGGGGAACTGCACAGAAAAGACAGGTGAGAACCACGGGCTGACCTTGAGGATGCTTTGCAATTAGAAGATGATGGTTAGGGTGATCCTCCCCCCTCTACCTTTTATCCTTCCAGTGACCGTGGAAGACCTCCCTCTTCAGGCAGGCTGTAAATAACTGTGACTGAGTCCCCAGACATTTCTTTTTTTTTCTCAACATGCATTTAAAATTTGTAAACTTTTTAATATTATTATGCCTTGCTTAATTGCTTTTTAACCTGTAATTTATTGTGCTTTGAGTGTCATGTGTTTTAACCGCGTGAGCTGCCTTGGGTATCCCCCCACTTGCAGGAAGGCACCCCACAAATGATGCAAACAAATAAACAACATTTCCCCTTCAGAGACTGCAATCCTTCAAAGCTGCTGTGTTTGCACAATCACCTGGCAAATGAAGCCTGTGCTTACCTCCTAGTAACCAATCACCCATTGAAAGCTTTTCTCAGGGCAACTTCTGGAAGGGTAAACCTTGTGTTAGTATGAAGAAGCAACTGAACCCTTTAAGGGATGCCCCGTCCTAACGATGGGCTGGCTCTAAAGTGGTTTATCTCCAAAGGAGCCACAGAGCTTGGTGTCTTCAGGCCCATGGATTTACCGAGATGTCCTGACTCTCCACGTGGAACTATTTGGAAAATAGACCATCTCCACTGTGCAAAGGTAGGGAAGGAGGGGATGGCCTAACTGGACATGAATTGGCCTGAATGTCTGCCCAGGTCAAGATGATCTACAAAACTGAAGGGCTGCTGGAAGAGTCGATCTCCCCTCCTCCCCCTTCCGTCAGCTACTGCGCTCGCTCGCACCTTCCTAAGATAGCCCCAATAACGTCATTCCCCAGGGACCTCTATCCACTCCGTAAGGTCCTCCCAGGCAATTCGCTAGGCAGCCACTCCAAAGGAGGCCAGGAAATCATCTGCCAGAACCCACCAGGGCCTTCTTTGCTGTGGCTCCCACGCTCCGGAACCAGATCCCGGTAGAGCTGCTCCTGGCTCCCTCCCTC